GTATATAAACTCTCAGTTACCGTACCGCATGCGTGTGTTCACTGATAGTAAACTCGGGTACGGTAAAGTGTTTCTTAATTTCAATATGTTGATAAATAAAACTTTATTTTCCCATCTTCTGCGTTTGTTTGACGGTATTCCTGCTTCTTTCTTGTTCGTAATTTCGTGGCTGCTGAACGGAGGGCTCACTTATTTAGTGATAAGCTGTTGAATTATACACGATGGCGCGACTTCATCTTGCATCACAAATCACAATATTACTGTGTGGAGAATCGACGCACTCCTCAATTTCCATACAACATTGACACTCTTTAGCATAATTTACGAAGCAGTTCAATGCGACAATTGCCACGTTTACACCTGAAATATTATATTTTGTAATTTGAATACTGTGTATGTAGAAACACTGGCAAGTCACGAAACGCAAGGTCAAGTCACGCAACAAAATATTTACCATTTACTCAATTTTTCTGAACTATCAAGCCTTTGTTGTAGTTGCTTAAGACGTTCGTCGTGATTGCTTTTTTTCACGGTAACTTTTGAGCCAATCTTCGCCGGGCACTGTTTCATTAACATATGGACCAACGTCGTGCACATCAATGATCGGCGGCGCTGCTTGACTATACGCTTCACTGGTGTTTTCATCAATTTCACTCGATTTGATACGGCTCACGAATATAATTTCAGTCAGTCATCGCTTTGGTAACTGTTATTTTCCGTATCTGAATTCGACGAAGACATTTGTATCGAATTTTGACCAGCTTGATTGTGATTCTGACTTAGTATTTATACTTATTTTTGGCTTAGGCGAGTAGGCAATGTCTTCCTACTATGACGTGTATTAGTTACCAATTTCCCAGCTTTGCGGTTTTCAAAACTTTTGCCGTTAAAATTTGAAATTTTCAAATTTCATTGCCTTATTACTCTGTGAGAACAAGCTCAATTTTAATTAAATCTGTTTTGTATTTTCATAATCTACGTTTCAAGACGATTATATTAATGTAAACTCTCATTTTGTGACAGGGGCACTTTAAGTGTATTGAAACACTACTTTGGTGTACAGTTGAGTATGACAATTTTGTCCTTAAATGGAACTTCAGCCTGCACAAAAATTGTTGACACCGATATTAATTAATGTCAACCAGCTTTTGATGAAATCTTATATTTTAAAAATATCGACAAATGGTCCACCATGTGTGGAAAATATCATGGCATATCAGTTACAACCTCAAGCTCTGAATATATACAAATATCAGAATACAGTAATATAGTATATACATCCTAATTCTCACACTCAGCTAAATCGTATCGCATTCTAATGTACGTACTGCGGGCCGAGAATATAATTTGCAGCGGTATATATTCAGTTCACTGGATTTACATGATGACTCCAGTTATACATTGAGCGCACCAAACCGCCCCTTAATAAAGCAGAGGTCCACCCCATATCACAGAATAAGATACACAGAAGGCCGACTTCTTTGTTTTTCCCATGATTTTGCTATGATTTTACCGTAACCCGTAATTCGTCATCAAATGCTGACCCATGGTCCTAGCCAGTGCGCGTTTGAGAGGCATTCACCCCCTGATATTATTCAAAATGGCGGATGTCCAGGGGGGAATGCTTCTCAAACCCGCACTGGCTAGGATCATGGCGTCAGCATTTTGATGATGAATCATGGCGTGGCAGCGTTACTCGAGTCGACCTTCTGTGTACTGTTATATTGTAAGAAACAATATAGATATGTAATGTCAACGTTAATACTTATAGGAAACTATTATGAAATATATACATCGCTTCATCTATGCCTCGTGTCTCTGTGTCTGTCCTTCCCCGTAAGTCCTCTTCCCCGAATCCCGCTACCAGTTCACTTCCGTCTATACGCACTTCCGCTACTAGAACACAACATCTCCCTTTTACTTTAGAATATGAAATATACTTATGCAAACAATCATGCACCTAAGTTATGACCAAAATTCAATAGTTCTGGTTTAAATGTCAACCTAAACAATAGTACCAATATTTTAACAGTTAAGTTTCTTCGCGCAAGAACCGAGGTCTTCTTCGTACTCTTGCCGGATACCTTCGTGGAATATCTTGTGGCTGTTCGTTATTATCTTCATCGTCCGTTACATCGCTGGCGCTGTCGTCGCATTCCTGTTCATCAGCACTTTCGTCTTTCGAGTAAAATCTTTTGAAATGCGATACGTTTCTGGTGGTAGTGAGATCGTGTCTCGCTGCGGTTATCTTTGTGCCATTAACTTTCGTTACAGTCAAAGGTGTTGGATCAAAAACAGTACTAAATTTGTTTTTTCGTTCTTGTTTCACCAAAACTTTCATTCCTACTTCGATGTTTGCTTTCCGAGCTCGTCGTCTTTTATCTGTATACTGCTGCGCTTTCGACTGCTTCTCTGACGTATTTATCTTAGCCTGTTCGTGTAAAATCTTGTAATCAATATCCCCCTCTTTTACAAAAGTTGGCATGTTCGTACGAACTTCGCGATTGAACAACAGTTGACTTGGTGCTACCCCGGTGGTACAGTGTGGTGTAGTTCTGTAAGCTAACAGAAAACCATGTAGCTCTTCTTTCCAATCCTTTCCTTCCATTTTCGCTGCTTTTACAGCCTTACCGAGGGGCTTCATGAACGACTCGGCTTCCCCGTTGGCCTGTGGCCAATAAGGTGTTACAAGCCGGTGATTTATTCCGCGATTTCGCATGAATTTCTTCACTGCATCACTAGCAAACGGTGGACCATTGTCCGAGTAGATTTCAGTGGGAATGCCATGAACTGCGAAAATTCTGTCCAGGCGATTCGTGACTGCGCTGACAGTAGTGGATTTCATTATTTCCACTTCTGGGAACTTTGAATATGAATCAATGACAACAAAAAGTGTTTCCCCCGTGGGAAATGGACCGCAAAAATCCATGTGAAGTCTATCCCATGGTTTGGAGGGCAATTTGTGTTGTTGAAAAGGCGGTGGCGGATCACCATGCCCGAGAGACTGGCATGCGTGACAATGCTTAATAAACTCTTCCGCATCTTTGTCAATTCGCGGCCACCACACTTTCGTCCTCAGGGCTTGTTTTGTTTTGACAATGCCCTGATGACCTTTGTGGGCATGTGTCATGGTTTCATTTCTAAGCCTTGTTGGAATGATCAACTTATTTGCACGGAGCAAGAGACTGTTTGGTGTGACAGCGAGTTCTTCTCTCACTGCATAAAAGGGATGATGCTTTGCCCAGACACCCGATTGGATACTTTCAATCGCTGATTGCATTTCTGGATCAACTGCAGTTGCTGCAATAATGGACTCGATACTCATGGCCTTGGGGATGGTGTTCTTCTCTATAAAATTGATATATTGTTCAGCAATGTCACAATGTTCCGTGTATACTACAGGTAGTGGTTGTCTAGAAAGTAGATCAGCAGGGTTGCCTTCGCCTTTGCGATATATTATATTAAATTTGTATTGTTGTAAGCGAAGAGCCCACCGTTGAATCCGAGCAGGTGGTTTGGATTTGGGTGAATAAATTACCTCAAGGGCTTTGTGATCGGTGCAAATTGTGAATTCTGCACCAATTGGGTACATGTGAAACCGTTCGCAACCCCAGACAACGGCTAAGGCCTCTCGTTCGGTTTGTGAATACCGTTGTTCAGTTAGAGTGAGTGACCTACTGGCATATGCTACATTATGCAAATTACCTGCTCTGTCAATGTTCGACAATATTGCTCCAAGACCTGTGGGGCTTGCATCGACTGTTAGACATGTTTTCTGATTTGGGTCATAAAAATGCATGATACAGTCTTTCTGTATAGCTTCTTTAATAGCAGCAAATGCTGCTGCGTGTCTAGGTGTCCATGCATAGGGTGTTTTGGCTACAGTATGTTCTCGCAAGGGGGATGTAAGAGTTGAAAAGTTCTTGATGAATCTGGAACAATAGTTTGCTAGCCCTAGGAAACTACGGAGTTCTTTTGTGTCCTTTGGTTCCTTAGCATGCTTAATTGCATCAACTTTCCTTCGATCAACTTT